ATAAACCCCCCCCAGATGGCCCTTCCATCCGTAGACGAGATGGAGACCTTTCATATCACCTAGATAGTTAGAGACACCCCTGGAACTCCCGCTGACCCATAGCTCAACCTGGGGCTGTTTTTTAATACTCCTCCTCGTCTCCACATGGCCTAGTGTCACTCTATCTGCTGGCGGGGTCTAGTGCAGGCTAGCGGCCCCCTGGTCATGGAATATCCCGCAAACCAAGAAACCCGCCCTGACCAACAAGATTTACGCCTTTTTCCCTGGTTAAAATTATTTGCAAGAAGGATTAGAACTTGCTTAACCTTACAGGACTTCCACAGCCTGTCTGGCTGCTTTCTGTGTTGCCACTCTAGGGCCGTCCCGCTACCGCTGTCCCCCTGCCATGGGGATCCTCTACCATCTGCCCCCAAGCTAACACCACCGCAACCTCTTCAATATGCCCCCTATCCCTAACGTGCAACACTATACCCTAAACCCCAGCCATGAAAGTTTTCCTACTGTTTCTCAGAACTAATTCCACTCCTGCCAGCATCACTGCATTCTCTCTCATCACCCGTTTCAGGGCCTCGTCCAGGCCATATCTTCTGGTGTAATGGACATTATTTAAAACCTATAGCCCCTCTGTTACCCCACCTACTTGGTGTCTTCCTGTCACATTAGTTCCCCGTTGACCTCTACTCTTACTCGCCCGCGAGCTTACTAGGGTATAATCCGGTAACTTGGACTAGTGGCTGTTTTTATTCTCCACCCAGTCCCTAGACTGAGACCCTGCACAAAGCCATCATTTCTCCCCCTCCCATTGCAGAATCTCCCTCAACCGCATCTTCAATGGCCAGCCCGGACTGGCGGGGGGGCCTTAGTCACACCGACACCCTCTAGAAGAGTACAAGCTGTACCCAACAATTTGCCGTTGCTATGAGGAGGTCAGCTGAGTCCACTTGCCTCCTCCAGCAGCAGCTCACGTCCCCATAGGCACACGGTAACACTTGCGAACCAGAGGGCCTTAGACCTACTCACATGCCTGAAAAAGAGGTAACAGTGTATGTTTCCTAAAGGAAGACTGTTGTTTCTAATAAATGAAAAATCAGGACTTGTGGAGGACTGGGTCCAACAGTTACACAAGTTAAGCACAGAAGTAAAGAACACGGGCAAAGTTTGCTTCAGCCTGCAGACCAATGGTGTGAACTCATCTAATGTTTTCCTCTGTTAGCACCCTCCTTGGACCCCTGCTGAGTCTTCTATTTCCTGCTTACCCGTAGGACCTTGTGTTGTTACAGAATTTCTTGCGTTCGTTAGAGAAAGGTTTGACATGTACAATCCATCGGTCCTCAGAGCCAATACCAACCTGGTAAATGCTGAACAGAATCAGAACTTGTAAGACCCAAGATTCCGCCTCCTCGAGCCTCCCTGCAACGCCAGGGGGCCTCCGAGCGGCCGCCCCGGGCACATTCCTCGCCCGGGCTCAAACAAACAAGTCCAGTAACAACACATCCATTCCTCCATCCCCAACCACAATATCGCCGTAACCTACATCTTCCCCCTCGAAACTTCCTGAGCCACTAACACCACGCCTCCTCTCCAGTCCGGCCATATCTCTCAACTTCCTCGCGCCAGTACACACAATCCAGGACTCCCTCCGCCAGTCTCCACCACATATCTTCAAACTTCCTGCAGCCCAGTAAACCCCCAACACCACCCTGAAGGTCTCCGATACAGGGCGGGCCCCCACCCCCCCCCGCGCCTCTTCAAGGTTTTCACTGAACAGCCGCGGACACCGAAAAAATTCCTTTGTCCCCTGTAATTTCAGATTGGGGGTATGCGTTGTTAAGCTGGCAGACTTTGCAACTTGTCACGATACTGCTGGCCGTCTCAGCTATATGTCTGATTTTGAGCTTGGAGCGTCTGATCAAGTCTATCATCCGCCGGGCCCCCAGGTGGGTGGTTCGGTGGATGTGTTCTAATACGTGTTGTCCTAATTTTTCTGGTAGGATGGTTTGGTCATTAGTATCAGTCCACCACCCATTCTGGATTTGTTTCAGGGGAAGTTTGTCAATCCACTGGAGATCTTGTTCTGAATAATCAGGGAAATATGGCAAGTCCCGGGGGCCCGGGTCAGGGAGCTGGAGTGCAAGGAGTTGGCTGGGAGCCTTTGCCACATTCCTTGCAGTTTGGTCTGCCAGAAAGTTGCCTTGAGCAGTTGGAGTAGTTGGTTTCTGATGCCCTGGGCAATGCACAATGGCTAACTTTTCTGGCCTCCATAGGGCTGTTAGCAGGGCTAGGATCTCTTGCTTGTTTTTTATCTCTTTTCCTTCAGCCGTCAGTAACCCTCGCTCCCTGTAAATGGCCCCATGTATATGCGCCGTTGCAAAAGCATATCGGCTGTCTGTATATACTGTCAGCTTCTTCCCCGCCCCTAAGGTAAGAGCTTGGGTGAGAGCTATCAGTTCGGCCTTCTGGGCCGATGTCCCCGGGGGCAGGGGTTCCGCCCAGATTACCTCAGTCTCTGAAGTCACTGCCGCTCCAGCGTACCTCTGGCCTTGATGCATGAAGCTGCTCCCATCAGTGAACCAAACGAGGTCGGCGTCAGGAAGTGGGCGGTCCTGCAGGTCTTCTCGAACTCCGTGCACCTGAGCTAGTATCTCGGTGCAGTCATGGAGTGGGGCGTCCAGGTCCGGGTTGGGCAGCAGCGAGGCAGGGTTTAAGGTCGTTGGGGGCAGGAAAGTTATCCTGAGAGGATTTAGTAGTAGTCCTTGGTAGTGGGTGAGCCGGGCGTTACTCATCCATCGATTAGGTGGCTGTTTGAGTACACCTTCGATGGCATGTGGAGTAACGACCCGCAATTCTTGTCCCATGACAAGTTTATCAGCATCTTGCACCATCAGAGCCGTGGCCGCAATCATTCGGAGACAAGGGGGCCACCCGGCAGCCACTGGGTCTAACTTCTTTGACAGGTAGGCAACTGGCCTCCGCCAGGGGCCTAAGTTCTGAGTTATTACCGCCTTGGCGACACCCGTATTCTCGTCCACATATAGGTGGAAGGGCTTGGTAACATCAGGTAGCCCCAGTGCAGGCGCAGAGAGTAAGGCGGTTTTAATCTGTTGGAAAGCCGACTCGGCTTCGTCTGTCCAATTAAATGGCTGCTGCCCCCGTGTTGCCTGATACAAGGGTTTAGCCAGTTCTGCGAACCCAGGTATCCATAGTC